GCGGGGTGGAGGCGGTGGTGGCAGGCGTCGCTTGGCTTGGCGTGGGGACGCTACCCGGGAGGGAATGCCAAACGCTGGTACTCGGTACTCGTAGGGCTCCCAGGCCTGGCGCACGCCGTCGCCGGACCAGCTACTTGCGCTGATGATTGCTCTGCCCAGCCCGGTGCGGGCGTGGCGGGGGAGCACCCGCCGGGCCTTGGTGGTGCGAGAGGGAATGCCAAGCGGGTTGGTACTCGCTACTCGAGGGTAGCGCGGCCTCCTGGCGCGCCACTCTAGGTCGGGTTGCACTACGCATTGCACTGATCGTTGCACTTTCACTACATCACTACAAAGCACTACACTGGGCTACGGAGCACTACAAGCATTGAGCAACAGCACGCTACACCAAGGGACACAGAACCAAGCACTACACGGCACTACGGACGCACTACATTTCACTACTATGCACTACACTTCACTACTATGCACTACACTGCACTACGATGCACTATTTGCACTTGTTTCGCACTATTTTGGTCCTTGGCCAGCCCCGGCTGGGGCTCCTGCTCAGCGCAGCCTCCCGGCGCGCCCCGGCGGGGGCCGACCCCTCGGGCCCCGCCGGGCCGCTCCGTGCGGCTGCGGCAAGAGGGCACGTCCTCACCCCACCAGGGTTCGCCCCGAACTCATGTTCATGTTGTTGCCTGCTGTGGCGTGTAACCCTTCAAACCGCCCGGGGAGTTGGTGCACGGGGTGCGAAGGAGAAAAGTGCCACGTCGTTATTGCGAGCCTGGGTGTACTCGGCGTCTGGGGCCCTTGCCGCCCGGATGCCTAGGTATTGATGGATAAACCAAAGTGCTTGCCAAGTCCACCTGTAAGAGCACGAAACAACCGTCGTAAAGATGCTAGAAATAGGTGCCTTCAGCAGTTTCAATGGCCTTGTTAAGGCACTAAAACTCTGGCACCTTTTAAAGGTGCGACGTAACCACCTTTGTTTTTTCCAGTGATGGCACCCGCTTGGCGCTTCCCTCATTGCGTGCGCTTGTCTCCTTTTGCGAGAGCGACTGCCCGACGGCCCCAGGGGCCCAGGGAGGGGTAGCAGAGGGGGGGGGGAGAGGAGCGGGGGTGTTGGCTATCAAGTGGAATGGGAGCTGCTGACGGGTGTCACCAGGGGGTAAGAAGGCGGCGGCGGCGGCGGCAGCAGAGAATATAGCGCCGTGTCTCGGGGCATTTGAGGCAGAGAGAGGCGGGAGGGGGAGGTGGAGGAGGGAGGGGGCTGCTCTTGTACCGACCTGTTGGGCTTGATCCCTAGAGCGGCGGGACACCAGCCAGCGAGAGCACACTCCGCCCCCTCGCGGGTTTAGAACTCATCTCCGGACGGACTGGACTTGGACTTTTAAAAAAAATCGTCCGCGCGAGTGGCCATACTACAGGGCGAGTCTGCAGGAAGGGCGAGGGTCACCCCCACACGGCCAACCCCACGAGCGAGGGTCCTTGGAGGGGTCGCCGCCGCCGAGGGTATCCGCGGAGGGGTCGTCCCCGTCAGCCAGCCCCCCGCCCGCGCCCTCCGCCGCCGCCGCGCCCGCGGGGCCACGACTCCCTCAAAGTACTTTGTGGCGACTCCAAGGCCAAACCAAGGGGGCGCGTACCGTGCCTTATAAATCCGTGACAGCTGTCCGCTCAGGTCGCGGGCGGGGCTGTCTTACTTTAGCGCGTCGTCGGGGCGACCTCTCCCACATCAAGGAGGAGGAGGAGCAACCCACCCCCGAGCGCGACCCGCCGCCGCCTGGGGATGCTGCCAACATTGGCTCTTTATGAAACTGACCACGTTTGTATTATTTTGTTGCAGCGGACATCACGCCGTACACCGCCATGGCGGAATACATCCGCGTCCAGTCCGTGGTGTACCCTGGCCTCGAAGGAAGGATAAAGTTCGCGCCCAGGAGGACGGCAAGCGGTGCACTGGCGATACACGGCGACAAAACACCTTTTGAATGTCTTGCTTTAGCAATTTTAGTATCATTTATGTCTGTAAGATTATGGTAGTATTTAATTAGTGTTTATGGTATTAAATTTTGTATTATAAACATTTTACGGCATTTTTTTTCTTGCTTTCGAAGCGTCTGCCTGGTGTCAGCCACCCGTGAAAGACAAGACCCGAAGAGTTAACTAAGAGACATGCGATATCTTACGCTTGTTTTGAAACGTCGTGCATTTACGCGCGAACTCAAGCAGCAAGGTGACACAACATATGGGTTTAAAATAGTATGGTTATTATAATGGAAACTTACACTGTAACACTAACACAAGGTTTCAAAATTTATGACTTTGTTTTTTATTAATGGTTAAATACCAAATAAGTTAAATATCATCGGTCTCGTTAACCATGGTACTGTTTCTTTGAGCAATTTCATTGTGTGGGTGTTGGTACTTTGTCAACAGCAGACAGTCGACGTGTTTATGTTTATTTTGAGTTTTTGAGTTTTTGAATTAGAAACTTGAATGTGTACGTTTTAATGTAAAAAAAGGATTGTCCCCTCTGTTTAATTGCATAATCTTGTTAAAAGGTAGTCATAGACCATGCTTTTGTGAATTTTATCTAGATTTTCTCTTTCGGCTGTATTGACATTTAGTTTTGTTTGACATTTAGGTTAGGCATACAATGGTTAGGAAAGCCAAGACTCTTACAGGGGACATTGTTGAATCATTTTATGGCGTTTACTTGCTTTTCTGTGTAAATCCGCGGTTTAAGGGTCGGACATACATTGGATTCACAGTTGACCCAAATAGACGCATTGAGCAACACAATCTCGGTAAAGAAAAGGGTGGAGCATGGCGAACTCATAATAAAGGTCCCTGGTACGTGAAAGTTATCTGTCTGGCCTTTCTATGCTCATTTATTAGAACACTGTCATATTACTGTCTATTTTTCTACAAAGATTTCATCGAGCATATTGTTTTATTTTTTGCCATCAGGAACATGGTCTTGACTGTTCATGGCTTTCCTAATGAAATATCTGCATTACGAGTAAGTTATGTTCGATTCCCTTGTCTACAAATCAAGTTGATGATAAATTTTATAGTTAATTTTCTCAATTCAAAGTGCTTTCATCTTCTGTTCTTTTTATGAAATTAGTTTGAATGGGCTTGGCAACATCCACAGCGCTCTCGCCGACTCAAGCATGTCTGTGCTAAAAAGTCAAAAGAGCCAGCATATGATTATGCCTTACGTGTGCTCTCTGAGATGTTGTGTGTTGGTCCTTGGTGCAGACTTCCCCTAACCATACGATGGCTCCTACCAGAATATGCAAGGCAGTTTCCGGTATGTCTCATGGCTTTTTTCATTTATTTTTTGTAAATATAAATATTTTATCTAATGTTTTCATTTTCAAATCTTTTAGTCAACCAGTACTCCTCCTTTGCATATGGCTATCTGCTACGGACCTGTTGTCAGCAAAAAAATACCACCGAAAGACAAGAATATTGAGTCTAATAAAGAAGAATTACAGGACTTGCCGGTCATCTTATGCGAAATATGTAAAATGCCATGTGCCAAAGATGAAATTATGAAATGTTTGTCACAATCCTGTTCTATGAAGGCACATGCCATATGTTTAGCCAAAACATTTCTAACAGATGACCAAGATCATCTTGTTCCTATTTCAGGTTCTTGCCCTGGGTGTGATATTAACATATTATGGGGGGACTTAGTTCGGAAAAAGAAGGGATGCTACGAGAATTTAGGGGAGCAAGAAGACATCTGTAGTTTATCTGATTATGAAATTGAAGTGAACTAAATAATAAATATTATAAATGTAAGCTTTTAATGTTCGGAATGGTGAACATGAATTGTACTTTATATTTTGTACTCTAGTCATATTACATGTACTTATGCTTTTTAAGAACCTTTACATTCTTATCAGTCCTTATTAATATCATTTTATTTTTATTTGTGTTAATTTGTAAATTTATCAAATAAAAGATGCTATCATACCAAATCACAATATCAATATCGCCCGAAATCAAGTGAAAAAAAAAAGAAAAAAAAAGAAGCAAAGCGGGACTTGTAAAGCAGGACCGAGTTCTGACGTTTCCGTCCACACTAGCAGCCGACAGCTGAGTGGCGAGCGTGCTGAGGTGTGGTGCGGAAACCGTCTGCTCAGGGATCGAATCCCATCCGCGGTACTTTTTTCCTCTCGCTGAATCCCGCAGACATTGTCAACGGAAAGAGAAAAAAAAAGCTCTACGGCTGGGATTCGATCCCTGGACCGACGGTTTCCGGACCCCACACCCCACAGCGCTCGCCACTCGGCTGTCGGCTCCACTTGTCAGCGGAAGGTTCAGAACTCGGTCCTGCTTAACGAGTCTTGGTCTCCCGTATTGCACGCGTGCAGGTCGGGCCATGTCCACCTCCTCGACGCTCTGCAGCCCGGGTCGGCTCCCGGCCCGAAACACGGAAAATGGCCACTAAAAGAGCCCCCCCGGGCGCGCGGGGGTTAGGTTAGGTCCATTTATGTGACTTGTTTCGTGTTTTTGGCCATAATTCGACCGGGCTGCAGCGCGTCGAGGAGGTGGACTTGACCCGATCTGAACGCGTGCAAATACCGGAGACAAGGACTTGTAAAGCAGGACCAAGTTCTGACGATTCCGTCCACACTATCAGCCGACAGCTGAGTGGCGAGCGTGCTGGGATGTGGTGCGGAAACCGTCGGCTCAGGGATCGAATCCCATCCGCGGTACTTTTTTCCTCTCGCTGAATCCCGCAGATATGGTCAACGGAAAGAGAAAAAAAAGTTCTACGGCTAGGATTCGATCCCTGGACCGACGGTTTCCGGACCCCACACCCCAGAGCGCTCGCCACTCGGCTGTCGGCACCGCTTGTCAGCGGAGGGTTCAGAACTCGGTCCTACTCGTCCTACTTTACGAGTCTTGGTCTCCCGTATTGCACGCGTGCAGGTCGGGCCATGTCCACCTCCTCGACGCGCTGCAGCCCGGGTCGGCTCCCGGCCCGAAACACTGAAAATGGCCACTAAAAGAGCCCCTTGGGCGCGCGGGGGTTAGGTTAGG